GGACTCTGTGACCTTGGAGGTCTTGTCCAACCCAAATGATTCTGTGCTTTAATTACCCCTCTGCTGTCATTAATTGCACAGCAGAAACATTCTGAATAACAGCAGGTAGAGAGTTCATAATCTTCAGCAAGAGTTTGAGCCAGCTTCCCACCCAAATGCATTCTGAATATTAAGGATTTAATTGTTCACTTTATTTTTTCTCTTCTAATAGCATTTATTAGATTTGAAGCCTAAAATGAAGCTCCAGAGCCTTTAAAATTTTGGGATACTGGTGCATTGCTTATCAACCAGTTGCTCACCTTTGGCTTTATCTGCTTTCAGTCAAATCTCTTAGTTGTGGAATGAAAGTCATTTTTCAAATCACTGTGCTTTTTTTGATTATGGAAATACAATAATGGAGACATTTCATAACTGTTTAAAAACAACTGCAGGGGCTGTTCTTACACAGAATCATTGCATTTTTTCATGGAATTATGATGTTTTTACACTGAATTGTTCCATTCTTCAAATAATAATTCCTACATTAATTATTTAATGAAACAATTTACTCATTTTAGTGGTGTTTTTCTGTTCCTTGCAGCTGTCCAGTGATGCTGCTGTGAAAAGGGTCTTGGCTGGGGAAAAAGCCGATGCTAAAGGGAAACCTCCATCCTCTAAACCTCGACATAAAGAAAGCAGAGAGCCCAAAGCAGAAGAACAAAAAAGCCATAAGGATAAAGAGGTAGCAGTTGCATTTTTTGGGGGTAGTGGGGTACCATGATTTATTTGTTTGGGGTATTTTTAGCATTTTTGTGTTTGCAGAGTCACTGTGTGATTGAGTTGCCATGTGTTGGAATTTAATTTGTAGTGTTTGCTATCTTTTTAGAGCAGGAGAGACACTGAAATTAAAGAGAGAAGCCCCAGCAGAGACAGAAAACCCAAAGGAGATTTGAAAGAGAGCAGAGAAAGAGAAAAGGAGAGGGATAAACAGAAGAACAATGAAGAGAAGCACAAAGAACCTGAAAGAGACACCTCAAAGGAAGGAGAAAAACAAGAGAGGGAAGGAAGCAAAAGCAGAATGACCAAGCAAGGGAGGGAAACAGAAAAAGCCAAAGGAAAAGGAGACCCAGAGCGAGGAGAGGACCTCAGGCAAGATAAAGGACAGGAAAGAGAGAAAAGACAAGAAGGAGGAAGAGAAAAGGACAGGCTGAAAGGAAGAGACAAAGACAAGGCCAAGGACAAAGAAGGAGAGAAAGACAGAGAGAGAAGAAGAGATCGGGACAGAGAAAAAGATGGGGAGCACCTCAGGGAACATGGCAAGGAGAAAGCAGAGAAAAAGGTAATGGAAGTGTTATTTTGGGGAAGAGCTTTCCCCACGCTGTGGCTGGGACTGTGTTTGCTCCTGTGGCCTTCCATGTTTGTGTTCCATCAGGAAGAGCCCTTGTTCCAAACCCCTGCCATGGGCAGGGACACCTCCCACTGTCCCAGAGTGCTCCCAGCCCATCCAGCCTGGCCTTGGGCACTGCCAGGGATCCAGGGGCAGCCACAGCTGCTCTGGGAATTCCATCCCAGCCCCTGCCCACCCTGCCAGGGAACAATTCCTAATTCCCAATCTCCCATCCATGCCTGCCCTCTGGCAGTGGGAGCCATTCCCTGTGTCCTGTCCCTCCAGGCCCTTATCCAAGTCCCTCTCCATCTTTCTTGTTGGCTCCCTTCAGCTGCTGGAGGCTTTCTCAGAATTGGGACTGAATGGTCTTTAAGGCCCCTTCCAACCCAAAGCAGTTTAGGATTCCTGGATATTCTAAGGATTATAGGCCCTAAACTGCCCTGGGAGCCACCTCTTCATTGCCTTTCTTTTTGTTACTCTTCTGTTTCCTCTTCCTCTAAATATTTCTCATTCTGCCTTTCTGTTCTCTTGGTAGAAATTCAGGATTGATGGGCACCAAAATGCTTCTCCTGAATCTAAACCAGTTCATTTCTTTCCAGCCCTCAGATTCTGAAGAATCCTTGAATAGAAAACCACAGAGGCCAAGTAAAGACAGCAAGTGCCAGCCTGACACTGAGGTTAGTAAAGGAGGAGGTAGGAATAACCAAAATGTTGTATTTTGATCTGGGAATCTGCTCAAAAAAAATGTGGGGTTGAAGGGTGGGTAAATGGCAAGTTTTAGGGCTGGGAAATAAAGTAAATAGAAGCTTCCCTGGGATTTTTGGTTGTTTATTTGTTAAGAAATTTCTCTGATCTTGGACAAAAAAAAAAAAGTCTACTCAATTTATTTTATTTTGCAGATTTTATTTCTGTGTATTCATATTTTGGACACTTCTTAGGATCACAGACTGGTTTGGGTTGGGAAGAACCTTAGAGCTCATCTCTTCCAGCCCCCTGCCATGAGTTTTCTTTATTCCTCACAACCTTTCCTGGAAAATTGATAGGGTTTTTGCATTTGTTTTTGAATTTTAGCCAAAGTTACTGTTTTGGAAAGAAAAGGAGTCCAGTGTTGTTTCAGGGTCCATGTTTGCAGCTGGAGGAGCAGCTCTGCACAGGAGCTGCTGTTTGTGTCACCACTGTGCCTCCATCTGCTGCTTCCTGATGACCTGAGGCACTTTGGGGAATTATGGAGCCACATGTTTAAAGGGGAGACTTCAGTAAATGAACCTAAAGCTGCACAGGCTGAGGAAAAACCAGGCAGGATCCCAACTCTAGCAGGACTCTCTGGGCCCACTGTCATTATTGTGTCTTCCCCCATGAGATGACAAATTTATGGCTCTTCCTTGACTCCAGTCCAACCAAACTCTTTAAGTTATTGGCACTGGGAGGGAGAGCTTATAAAAGAGTTTTTTTGGGGGTTTTTTTTAAGCCTCCAGCAAATATTCATGGCCAAGTCAAACTTCCTGCAAATTGGGTCTCTAATGGAAATTCTGAGCCTCATCCCAAGCTCTCATCATGCTCTTGGGCACCACAATAATGCAGTGGGGCAGTAAAGTTTCATTTCCCCTCCTAAGTGCTTTTGGGAGGGATTCCAAGGCTTTGGAATTATTACCTGAGATCCAAAGGAAATTCCTGCCTCTGCCTGCCTGTGTAACAGGGGAGGCTGCTCGTTTCTGAGATGCTGAAAACACAAACCTGAGAGCAGAGCAGGACAAATGTCATCATTTTTAAAGCTGGGGAAGGGAGAGGTGACAGGACAACATGCCCAGTGAATTTTGGGAGCTGAGAAAGCTGCACAAAGTGATTTAGAGGAAACTCCAGCAGGAAATCATTGGAAATTGCATCTCCTGGACTGGGGTTGATCTTCTGGTCCTCCCAGGAGTTTCCCAGCCTTTATTTCCAGGGATTCACCCCAGTTTAACCACTGTGGTTCCACTTGAGTCACATGGCAGGGAAACAAATGGATTCAAAAGAAGGCAAACTACTTTCTGTGCACATGAAGGATTATGAATCTTATTTTGTGGTCTCTGCTGCAGAATTAACAAATCTTCAGCATCTCTCTTTAGCTTTTTATATGTATTTTTTCTATAGATAGTTACAGAATGTATCTGTTCATTATAATAGAAGTGAAACAGCTTGAGATAGTACCCAACAAGTCAGCCACTGGTTTTTCCCCCTCAGGATTAATCTCTTTACCTTTTTACTGCATTTACTTTAGAGAACAGATCCATTTAGATTTTTTTATTATTCTACATGTACACCAAAGCTATCACTTAAAGTTTAGTCCCTGACTTTGCTTAATGAGATTTTCTCTATTTATGCAAATCTCAGTTTTTCTTCCTGCTAATTATTGGTGCCAGCTTTCAAATCTACTTAAGGCTGACTTTTTTAATAATTTAAATGTAATTTTTTTTGTTGCTAAAGAAACTCTTTGTGTTACCCAGTGTGCAGTAGCCATCACATGGGTATCCATAATTTTCTGGAGCTAGAAGAAAGCAGGGATAAGTAGGAATTAAGAGACATTTGGCTACCACATGGCAATCAGAAGCTGCCTCAAGGCTGGCTCTTGCATCCTGCAGTTTGGGATCAGGGTTGAGTCGTGTTCTGTTCACTCTCAGTCCATCTCAGGGAAAAATCAGATTTAAAATGGCCTTTTGGACCTTATAAATAATGAAGACCATTATTGTTTAGACTTGACAGGAGGTGGGGGAGGTCACAGAGCATCTGGTGCTGGAAGTGGCTGCAGAACAGGTAAATCATTTTCCCCTGAGGCCAAACACCTTGGAAAAGTCTCTTCCATGTTTCCCATGGCAGCTGGAGCTCTTGGCTAAAGCTTTCTGTAATATCCTGTCATTTCTGGCCACTTGCAGAATGGGTTTGCATTTGCCCTGAAAACCCTATTGCTCTGGAAGTGGTCACTTCAGGCAGCCTCTAATTCCTGCCTAATGAACTTCTGTTCCTCTTGAAACTCAGTTGGGTTATGTAATGAAACTGTGGCATTAAAAAAGGACAGCAGAGAGAATCACCTCCTGGAAATCTGCAGGACGTGGCTAAAACATTTCTGTTCTGGAGCTGGGAATGTCCCTCTCTCTTTGGTGTCACTGCACCAGAAATCCATCCTTTAAACTGCTTTAAAAACAGAGATTTTCCTCATCTCTTTGTGTTGGAGCAGTTTTAATTTGCAGGATCTAATACCAATAGAACATCATCTTGTGAGATTTTAGGTGAGGAAAAGAGAATTGATTGATATTTCCCTAACAAATCTTATCAGCACAGCACTCAAACTGGCCTCAGCAAGTGGAGATCTTTCCTTGTATGTGGTTTATTTATATAAAATTATACCTGCACACTTGGTATTGTAGAGATGGAAAGATGCCTCCTGGCACTGTGGATTTAATTAGAAGAAAAGTGCTGTGGAGAGTTGGTGGAATGAAATTGCTGTTCACAGACTTAATTCTTATTTATTATTAGAGAGCCATCAGTAGAGCTGATGAATTAGAGGGGGGAATCACAGTGGCTTATTTTGTAATGAGCTCTGAAACACCAGCAGACATTTTCTTCTGTCTGGAAGTGAAATTCAGCCTCTTTAAAGGTTAATAATGAGGACAAAGCAGCAGCCTGGATGGTTTGCAGAAGGCTCTGGATCCTCTCCACGTGGCAACACAATTACTCAGGACTGGGAAGCGTGCATGCATCCATCAAGGATTCTGCTGTAATGTGTTTTTCCACCATGGTGTGAGATGAAGTGCAAGATTTCCCTTTAATGGCTCTTGTGGCTGCTTTTCAAAGTCTTGAAGGGGAATAACCTCTTTTATCTCCCTTTGGAAAGCCCCCCCCAAATCATAAATATTGTGAGATTTTCTGTTTTGGTGTGCTGCCATAGTGAGTAAACGTCAGCTTTCACCCTGCACCTGCTGCCAGGCTGCACATGTGGCTCCACAAAAATTCTCTTTGTAGCCACATAAATAAATGACCAAATCCCCTCTTGCAGCACCTATTGGCAGCCCCCTCCCCACCTGTGCTAATAATGACCTCACCCAGAGAGCTGCTGGGGCTGCACTGTGCCAGATGTGCTCCTGATGGGATGAGAGCTTTCTTTCCCTTCCTTCCATAGCGTTGGCCTTGTGGAGGTTATTATGGAGAATTAAAATTAAGATGAACCACTTCAAGATTGGAATTCTGTCTGGTTTTCCTTAGAACATGCCAGGATTTGTAAAGAGGAAAAACACTTCTGGTGGAAGGATTCCCTGCACAGGCCAGGGGGTGGAAGGGGATGAGTTTTAAGGTCCCTTCTACTCAAGCTATTCTTTGATGGCAAAAAAAATGGCAGAAATTGTGATTTTCAGGTTATCAATGAAGGTTTTTCCCAACCTTAATGATGATCTGCAGGTCTGACAAAAAATCTTGAATGAAAACTGAAAAAAAGCATATAAGGAAGGAGATCCTGGGAGGTGTTAAACATATTTCAGGATTTGGGATATCAGGCAGGATTTTTATCCAGGGAAGTTTCCATTTAAGTAATGGACTGGGCAAACCTGGTAGCACAAGTTTTTAAATCCTTGCTTCTCTTTTGGAATGAAGTCTAAAAGATTTTGCAGCAGGTTGAAGAGGAGCTGTGTATCTGATGCAGCTGAAACTCAGAGGTGATTGTAGGAATCATCCTCCTTTTTATAACTTTTTTATTCTACAAGGTTGGATACTCTTAGGTCCCATTTGGAAGTTGTTTTTCTATCAAATAAGTTCATGTGAAAGAAAACAGCTGGCATTTATCCAGGAAAAAATATCCACAGGCTGTGAGGGAAATAAACTCAACATAAAAGTGTGGATCAATTCTTGTGTCAATATTTGCTCTGTATAATACTTAGAAAAGCAGCACAAGGAAGTAAATTTCAGATATAATGATATAATATTTAGATCTACTGTTATATAAATTTCTGGCCTTTTATTGTTTTTTGTTTTGTTTTTTTCCAGACTGAAACTCCTGCAAGGATATCAAAGGAGCCTTCAGTAAAAGCATCAAGGCATCCCTCCAAGCCTGCAGGAGAAGGTAACCACAGGGAGGATATTGTTATTTCTATCAGATATGCTGCAGGCTTATTGAGTAGGAAGAGCAGAAATACTGAAATATCCCTGTTTATTATTGCCAGGGTTTGGTTTGTACTCCCAGCCTGCATTTGTGAATCTAAGAGGCAATTCTGCCTGGATTTGGGATATAGGGAGTGAGATTCAGTTCAGTTTGCTCTCATTTCCAGTGCACAGTTGCAGACAGAAATTCAGCCTGCTTTTGGTAATTTCTGTGTAATTACTCTCTAAACGAGCTTGTGGACTTGTCTGCAACTATTCCTGACATGTAACATTTGTTAAATGTTTACAGCAGAGCAAAGGGAAGGTTGCAATGGTTTTAATTTGGTTTCCTAGACAGTTGGTCCAGGCTTTCCAAATAAATGATTTCTCTGTGGAGGTGCTTCCTTGCAATTATGATGCTGTGCTTTGTGTTTATTTCATTCAGTTATTATTAAATGGTTCATTCTGTTATCCCCTCACATTTTCCCCAAGTTGTTTTTTTCCCTAAGTTATATACCTTCCTTTAGAGCTGTTCCTCAAGCTTTTCCCCTCCCTTTGTTTTAGTCCATTCCCTGTCTGTCAGGGTGATCCTGCCCCTCTTTCCCTGTCTGTCAGGGTGATCCTGCCCCTCTTTCCCTGTCAAGCTGATCCTGCCCCTCTTTCCCTGTCAAGCGGATCCTGCCCCTCTTTCCCTGTCAGGGTGATCCTGCCCCTCTTTCCTGTCAGGATGATCCTGCCCCTCTTTCCTGTCTGTCAGGGTGATCCTGCCCCTCTTTCCCTGTCAGGGTGATCCTGCCCCTCTTTCCTGTCAGGATGATCCTGCCCCTCTTTCCTGCCTGTCAGGGTGATCCTGCCCCTCTTTCCCTGTC